AATGTTTAATATTTAATCAAACATATTCTAATATGTTATATATTATTTGATTTGATGTATTTTCATATCATCTTTCTAATTTATATTATATATCTCTTTATTTACTATTTTATGTTATATTCACTTCATCAATTTAATTTCTATCATTCATTTTATTTCATTCTAAATAAATTGAAACAATCAACATATTCTAAATTATAACTCATTTTCATAATTGTATACATAAATATGAATGAAATGTGAATGATGGTTGTACTATAAACATATTATATTGATTATATTTTATTATAATCTATATAATTCAATTATTTTAATAATAAATGTCTCTTTAACAATTTGATGATGAAATAGAATATTGACAAAAATCAATAACAACATGTAATGTTAAAACAACATAGATATTTTAAATTCAATGTGAAAAACATATAAATTGAAATAATGAAGTTATTATTTTAAAGAAACAAAATAAATAATAAGAAAGTTTTGATATTGAAAGAAATTATATTAGTGAATGAGTAAATGAGAAATAATCTATTAAAAACTCACATTCACATCCTCATGTTATCTAATTTGATTGTATTTTCCAATTCAACACAAACAAAGAAACAAAAATACAAATGAAGAAATTATATATTAATTTTAGTTATATTTCAAGATTATATGATATTGATTGTTCATAATAGAACATACAGAAATATCTTAAGAAACATTAGAAATATGAAAATAATGAATGTTTAATAAATCAATCAGAATTTCATGTAATCAACTATAACAAAAACATGTGAATATCCAGATTAATTAGAAACAACAAGAATAATACAATGAGTTAATAAAGATAATTAACAAATTGTACAACATTCAAGAAGAAAATGAAACAAGAACATTTTGATGAGATAATAAGAAGAAAGGAAATACATATTCAAATAAATCAAATGATAGTAGAAATGATAGAAGTAAAATAAAACAGAATAATAAATAAGAAATCATTATAAAGAAGAGAAAATAGAGTATCAATAATATTTATTGTCAATAAAACAAAAATAAAAATTAATTGAGATGTATTAAAATGAATAAAAATAGAATATCATTGAGATGAAATCATATTCAATACATTTGATCAATTTAATAAATATGAATTCAATTATATAATGATTATAAATTTAAAACAATATCATTTGATATATTCAAAACATTTTGTAGTACAAATTGAGAAAGTATGAAAATTATCATTAAATGTAATTCAATCATTCTTGAATCAATTCATATTATCATATTCAATGAATATCAATACATTTTATTAATAAATAGATACAGTAAAGAATATTCAATGATGATATAACATAATTCAAAAACAATAATAATAAATAATAATATATATATGAAATAACATAAATACAAAACAAATGATAAATCTTTGTAATAAATCTAAAACACATCAAATGAAAATTAAAGAATAAATAATAAATTAAAATAAAATAATGAAAGAGATGTTATTGAATATTTAACAAAAGAACAAATCATAATACAAAATGAAAAGAAAATAAATGAAGATGATAAAAAGAATAAGAATAATGAATATATAAATCAAATATCAGAATAAATATTAATCAAAATATAATGTTCACAATTTGAATCAATGATATAGAATACAAAATATAAATGATAATCAATATGTTAAACAAATTGAATACTTAAATATTATAACATTAGAAAATTCAATTAAAATGAATTTGAAGTAATATCTTTGATTATTTATTATAATTGTTTTATACAAAATAAAAATAATAATAAAAAATATTATAAAGATATTAAATAAAATAATAATAAAAAAGTGTTAATAAAAAGGGGATAATTAAATATTAATAATTTTATTTTCTATTGTTCATTCTTCAATGTAGACTATTCGTTTTAACATTGTATGTTCATTAACTATTAGTTTATTATTAGTTTTTAGTTGTTTGAATGTGAGAAATTCATTTTTTATTTATTTAATGAAGAATAAAGTATTTTAGATATCTTTGATTTAATATTCATCATTTAAGTTTCTATATGATTTTAATGAATATTAAAACTCTTCTTTATTTTCATTTTTAATAAGAATATATCATTATCACTATATTATTATGATTAATTTTCATTTTAACATCAACCATAACAATAGATCTTTTTTTCATTGAATAATATATATTAACAAATATACATGTATCATAACAAGAAAATAATACTATAATCTGTATATAAATAATTACATATTTAATATCAATGATATTCAATCAAAATAAATAATAAAAATTAATATTATTGTAATAATGAATAAGATAGATTTTAAGTAATAGTAATTTCATAACTAGATGATAAATGGTGATTTAAAGTTTTGAAGTAATTTGATGGTGATAGTATTTTTTTTTGAAATACTACATTTAAATTGTTGAATTTGAAATAAAACAAAAAAAAAATATTTTTAATAAAATTTCATCAATGAGATTTTATTTTGTAATTTTCATTGTTGTTTTTTTTTTATTTAAACATTTTATAAATCAACACTTTGAGTAATCTCAAACTCTAAAATACTTGAATTATTTTCAAGTTTATTTTAATGTTTCGTTTGCTCTATCCAATTCTTCAATCATGGTCTGCTCAGATTGTAAATTTAATTTTTGGAAGTGTTCTTGTCGGTTTTGGGGTTGTTGTTTATGCTCAACTCCAACATTGTTCAGCTCTTATCGCCAATTGTTGTAATAGGATAAGAACAATTCTTGTGGTAATAGCTCTTTTATGTCTATGGATGAGTCACATGGTTGAAACCCAAAGGATCAACACACAACAACTTCATATGAAGATTGACTAATTTAATTTAAAGAAACATTTAGTTTAGTTTGATATTATAGAATAACTGATGTAATTATATAAACAAGGATTTTTATCATTAAATTGTTATAGAATATTATCACAACAACTCTAACAAAACAAAGATAAATTTAATGATAGAATTAATACAAAATACAATACACAACCAGAACAAAGTACATTTTATTATTTCAAAGTGAATTAAAACAATATTCTTTGATTCACACTCACAAATAATCAAAACATAATGTCATACATAGAAATTATACACCACAAGATTATTATATAATTAATGATATAGTAATGTGATTTGTATGAAAGATATAGAATATAATGAAATAATAATAAAATTAAATATTATAATGAAATAGTTTAAATATTATTATTAAATTATAATGAAATTAATAATGAAATAGTTAAATATAATAATAATAATATAATACTTAATAAAATTAAAATATTAATTTATTTTTATTTATATTAATTGTTTATTTTATTTTCTTTTTTAGTTTTAAGATCCTTTTATCAATTCAGAATATATAACAAATTTTATTGCCATACTTATTGAGTAATACCACAGAGTCTTGTAAAGAAAATCAAACAAGAAACAAGTACTCATGTCCAAAGAAAAGAAAGAATAAAATAACAACAGCGATGAAATGCATAATAATGATAAAAGAAATAACAAGAGAAAAGTGAATAGAAAAAGAAGAACACAAATAAAAACAAATAAGAAACAATGTAAATATAATGATAATAAACATTATACAAATAACAAATCTAATTATTAACAATAAATGAAATTAAAATAAAAATTAAAAGAATAAAAAGTAAAATGAGGAATGAGAATATTCAGAATTACTTAAAAAGTATGAAGATAAAGAAAAGAAATGGTATAATATTCTCCAAGAAATATATTCAATAATAAATAATAAAATAATAAAGAAAATCAAAGAAGAAAACAAATAGAAAACAAAATAAATGAAGAATGAATCAAAAACAAAAAACAAAGAAATGAAATAAAACTACAATAATAATAAATTAAATATAACATAAATAAAAAACACAAGATAAAGAAGAAGAATATAACAAATAAGAAATTAACACACTTCAAAATAAAATTAAAGAAATAGAAGAAACTATTAAAGAACTTCAAACAAAAAAGATGGAAGAAGAACAAATTATTTCAAATGAAATGATTCAAAAAGCACGAGATACAGTTAGAAAAGGTTTGAAGAAAAAATAGAAAAGATTCAAACACAAATAAACAATATTCAAAATACATATAATGAAATAAGAAAAGAAAGCTCTAAATTAAAAGAGGAAAACAAGGCATTACAATGAAAAATAAATGAAACAACGGTAGAAGGGTCATAGAAGTAGGAGGTAAGGATGAAACCATCCGAACACTCCGAGCTAGCTGTGAGAAGCTGAAGAAAGAGAAGGACGAAGTCCTTAAGGGAGCTGAGCTGGAGAAGAAGAGGGCTGATGCGCTGGAGAAGAGGGCTGAGCTAGAGAAGAAGAGGGCTGATGAGCTGGAGAAGAGTGGTGAGCTGCTAGAGAAGAACATAAGAGATAAAGAAAATCAAATCTCTGTATATCAAAAAAGTGCGAATAAAAACTATGAGATTGCAGAAATAACAAAAGAAGAATTAGACAATACACAAAGAGAAAATGAAGAACAAAAACAATTAATATCAAAACAACATGAAAACATCGAAAATTTTTTATCCAAGAAGGAACTGAAGAAGAAGAAAACAATGACTCTAGTGATAAATACACAACCAATATTGAGAACATCATCATCTGGGACAATACAAATGAACCAAACTACAACTATGAAAAAGACAATTATGGAAATAGAAGAAGAAGAGAGCAAAACACTGAGTATCAAAAAACAAGAAATGATAATCAGTCAAGAAGAGAAGAAAACACAACAAATCAAACAAATAGAATTTTAATTGATGTGTTGTATTGTTTTGCAATTAATTTGTTAAATAAGAAATTAAATAAGAAATTAAGAAATGAACAAATAGAAAAC